TTTATGGTTTTAGATTTGAACTCGACAAGTTGGGTAGCTCCAACTCATCGAGTAGAGATCATTTGTGGGACACTGGATTTAGGATCTACTCAACGAGTTGGAAGGCGCAACTCGATGAGTAGGTGCTGTAAAGGAAAACCCTAATTTTCAGGGGTATGCACCCTATATAATCTCCTTAAAACCTTGAGGTTGGCCTTCCATCAGCCTCCAAACCCTAAGAACGTCAGTGCAAAACCCTAATCTCTATTTTTTCTCATATTGTGAGCTAGAGTGACTTTTGGAGCTTAAGAAGAAGAAGATAGTGAGAAGAAGGAGAAGATCCAACAAACAAAGCCCTCACTCTTGAGCTTGACCATCTAGCGAACTATTGTAAGCACTCAAGATTCGATTTTTATCTTAGAGTATGGCTAGATCTTGAGTTTACTCTTCATTTCCTATCATTCTTGTCAATTGCATGCCTTGGTTTCATAAAGTTTGCAACTTTATGAATCTCCAGGGCAAAATGGTCCCATAGTGGGCTAGATTTAGCTTTTGGTCAATCATGGATACCATGCATGGATTTTAGGGTATATTTTCCCTCTTTGGCCATTTTGACTTCAAACTTCAAGACATGCATTTCCATAAAGTCTCCATCTTTGGAACGTTTTGAGGATTAGAACCTCTTCTGGAAAGGAAGGATTCCATATCCTAGAATCTTGAACCATATGGCTAAGCTTTTGAGCATTCCAACATTTGTTAAGGGCTTTAGAGCATTCGAAGTGGTTCTAGAGGATAAAGTTGGAAACTTCATCCTTCTAGACACCTTTAGATTTCAGATCTAAGCCTTAAAGTCCCTGCAATCAACGTATCATCCGAATGAGCAAACAGGGGGAAAACTCGACGAGTTGCTCTGGCAACTCGACGAGTTGGATCAGGTTTCCCCGTCTATTGGATATTGAGTGAACTCGACGAGTTGATGAGACAAATCGGCGAGTTGGCTAGGGTTTGTCCCGGTTTTTTTGACTCTGGAGGAACTCGACGAGTTGTTAGATGCACTCGATGAGTTGGGGTTAACATAGACTATTGACCTTGAATGTTGAATTAGACTTTGACCAGGGTTGACCAAGTTTGACCTTGAGGGTATTTTTGGTATTTCAGAATTTTGACAAGACTAGTCATATCATGATTGTAGGCAGTTGAGTTGGAGCTACGGTTAGGACTTATCCGGTCTTATCTTATCAGTTCAACATTCTTGAGAAGGTGAGTCTCCTCACCATACCAATGGGTCGAAGGCACCAAGGCCGACCCATTTTATGATATGTGGTATACTAGTTGATGTAATATTATGTGGCATGATTGTTGATTATATTCTAGGAGGTATGCTAGTTGTATATATGGTACACTTGTATGAATGACCATGGGGGAGCCCATGGAACTTAGATGTAAGACCATGTGGAGAGCCCATGGTTTTCCTATTAAAGACCATGGGGGTAGCCCATGACACTTGGATGTAAGACCATGTAGGGAGCCCATGGCTTTCCTATTAAAGACCATGGGGGAGCCCATGACACTTAGGTGTAAGATCATGTAGGGAGCCCATGTCACCCTGGAGTAAGACCCTAGGGGGAGCCCACGACATCTATATATGTTGTATGCATGACTTAAATGGTTTATGTAGATTTTGTAGCTAATATGGTATATGTGATTATGTGGACTGTGTGGGGTATGCTCTGGGGAACCCACTAAGAATTAGCTTACAGTTTGTTGATTTGTTTCAGGTACATCTGAGCCTAAGGGCAATGGCAAGGCTTGATGGCGCGACATGCAGTCTTCAGTATTTGATTTGATGGGACACTCTGATGTTTAAAATAAAATGTTAATGTTATGGATTTTGAAAACAATTGTCATTGTTACTTTATATTTTATGAGAATGTTTTAGTTAGTTAAAAATGAAAATTTTATTTGAAAATTTGGGTCGTTACATTAACTGTTACACCATTATTGTAAATGGATAGATTTATGTGAGACCTCAAAGTCAGATACAATTTTGAGTGCTTGTAATAGTTTCAGAAAGTTAATAAAATCCTATCTCTCTCGTTCACCCTTGGTCATAGGTCACATTAACCGAACCACCTTAAATATCGTGTTCTTTTGATTTATGTTTTTCAGAAGTTTTGTGAGTTTACCGAAGTTTGTTTTTGATATTTATCTGAAGTATTTAAATTGTTTTTTTTTGTCACCCAACAATTTCAACACATGAATGTCGGTTGTCTAGGAGTTGGTGATTTCTCACGACTTTTCAGGTTATGTTGAGTTTTTGTAACAACCAAAATTTTAGAGTAGTAAAAATGCAAAAAAAAAAAAAAAAAACAGAATTTGTTTTTATTTATATTTTTAGTAGAAGGCGTAAGTATAAAGATTAATCTGGTTAAGGGGAGTGGTAATACTCCTAACACCTTGCCACATCATCTTTTTGTATGCCACATCATCTTTCTATCTTAGCACCTTATTCTTAGCATTTGGAAGGGAGTGGTAACACTCTTATTATTCTATTTTTTTTTTTCATTTTCAAATTTAATTACATTATATTTTTTAATACAATATCAATTATATTAAATAAATTTATTTTTCTAAATACAAACACTTTAAATATAACTTTTTAAAAAAAAAATGATTAAAATTACCAATTATTGTACAAATGCCTAAAGTGTATACATATAGATTAAGTAAGTCTTCCAAGCAACCCAAAAATCATTCAAAAGCTTCCTGTAAAAGATGGAATCAAATTTACTGGTGAAAGAATGAAAAAAGAAAATCAGTTACCCACACACCCCCTCTTCTTCATCTTCATTCCTGTCAAGAACCAACGGAGGTGGTGGCTACTTCCGGTGAGCAATGGAGGCAACAATCTCTCCCTTTTTCTTCTATTTTTTCTGTTAATTAAAGCAACCAAACACCCCGTAAATACATTGTGCTGATATGCTCCTTCTTCCCTTCCCCTTCTTTGTTTTCAATTAAGAAAACCTCCACTGGAGGTGGAGATTTTCCGGCGATTGGGAAGGTAACAACCCCTCGCACCCATCTCTTCTCTCTCGTCGGATCCACAAAAAGCCTAAAACACCCCTCGTAGCAGATTGTTTCACATCTTTTTCTTGAACAGTTCTACTTCTTCATGACCTTTTCTCTCACTTTCTCTAACCTATTTTGCATTTCCTAAAAAAATAAATTCACATAATGGAAAATAAATCTAATCTTTATTATCTAATATTAACACACCCATTAGATGGAATCATGATTTGAGTATAATTATAGGGATTTGTCTAAACTACATCATATGATCCAAACCCCAAAATCTAAAACATAGAAACTGGAAACAAATTGGGGGTTTTGAGCAATCAATCAGAAAGAAGTAAACTTGAATCGGGTCCATTGGAGGTGGGAGAAGATAGAAAGCAATGAATCAAGAACAAAGCAATGATCAGATTTAAGAAACAGACGACGATGGTGGCATTTCTAAAGGAGAATCTCGACACAAGCACCAATCAAATTCAACCCCCACCCTCTCTCTCTTCTTGCCAAAATTGTAACAAGACTCTAGTGGCGACCCCCCTAACGAGAGCTAGGGGCGGTGTTCATTGATTGCTGGCGAGCGTAGCGAGCCCGATAACGATTGCCATTCCTCTTAGTCTCAGGTTGATGGTATCACCATCATTTCCTTTGAAATTCTGTTTTCTAAAGTTTGTTTTTTTTTTTTTTTTTTTTTTTTTTTTTTTTTTATATCAAACACCTTTCTATGTTTTTAATAAAAAAAATTGTTGTTCCTAAAGATAATGTCGTAGCAAGTATTCGGCAATTCAAAGATCCTCACACCAATGAAATTATATTAATTTTCAAATGTGTTATATCTAATTTTGCAGTTACATCTAAATCAACACTTTTAAAAATGATTCATACTGCCATGTTAACAACTATTTTATAACTATAAACAAATCTCTTAATTATTTATAAATAATAATTATTCAACAATACATAAACACGAAACAGTTATTTATAATTTAAATAAAAACAATTATTAAAATATAAAATAACCAAATATTAATTAATAAGTTAATTAATTTAAATATCAAACATTTAAATAGTTTAAACGTTACAAAATTTGGATTACAAAACAAACATTATATTGATAATCATTTTTTTTTTTCATTTCCAAATCGATTTCAAATCTTTCAACCAAATCAACTTGTGGCGGACGATTTATGGTTTATTAGTATGTTTTGTATCATTGATATACTTTTTAGATGGAAAATAATGTTATTTTTTGTGCATTTTATTTATGTTTTGTATCATTGATATATTTTTAGACGGAAAATAATGTTATTTTTTGTGCATTTTATTCACTATTTGTAGTATTCCAAAATGAAAAATGATTTGTCTATAATATTTTTTCTCCGTATACAATAATTTATGTTTTATAATGTTACACAATATATCATTTTAAAATATAAATTGTTGCGAAGAAAAATGGTTGTGTATGGTCAATCACTTTGAAAATATTGTGTGTTTATAAAACTAGATTGTATAGTATGTTAAACTTATATAAGTTATTGTATTTTATTAATTTGTTTTATACTATAAACTTATATAAGTTATTGTATTTTATTAATTTGTTTTATACTATAAAATTAGTAAAAATATTAACAAAAGAAATTGAAATATTTTTTAATATATGAATTCATTTATATAACAATTGTTTAATAATAAATAAATTATTTAATATAATGTAATATTAATTAAAATAAAAACGAGTATTATCTTTTCTAATTTTGGACCTTAATGGCTTTGACCATTTGAAAAACGAAAGTCTATGTGGATTTCAAAGTGCCTTTGAAAGGCATTTGAAAAACCGCTAATCCGCTATGTGTATGCTCCAACGCTCATTTGTTTTTGGTGAATGTAAAATTTAACAAGACAAAAGCCACATCCCTCATTCCATCCTTCATCTTCCAATTTGAACCCTAAAGATGTCTACGAATAAACTAGAAGGGAAAGTAGCTATCGTCACCGGCGGAGCAAGTGGCATCGGAGAAGCCACCGCTCGTCTGTTTGCAAAACAAGGTGTCCGTGGGGTGGTGATCGCTGATGTCCAAGACGAGCTCGGCAAAAACCTATCTGCATCCATCGGCTCGGACCGTAGCACCTACATCCATTGTGACGTCTCCGACGAAACCCAAGTTAAGTCACTGGTCGACCAGACGGTGGCTAAATACGGCCATCTTGATATTATGTTTAGCAATGCCGGGATCGCGAGTAAAGGCGAGCAGACAGTTGTTGACATGGATCTGAACGAATTTGAAAAGTTGTTTTCCATTAATGTTCGAGGGACGGTGTTGTGCCTGAAGTATGCCGCACGTTCTATGATTGAGAAAAAGGTGAAAGGAAACATTATTTGCACGGCTAGCGTGCTGGGCCGGAGAGGCGTGCCACGACGTACGGATTATTGCATGTCGAAGCATGCAGTGGTGGGGTTGATGAAATCGGCGACCAAGCAGTTGGGGAAGTATGGAATCCGAGTGAATGCTGTTTCGCCTTTTGCTGTGGCGACACCGTTGATGTGCAATGTGCATGACAAAGGGGCCGAAGAAGTGGAAAAGATGTATGAATCGATGAGTAGCTTGAAAGATGTGGTGTTGAAAGCAGATGATATTGCCGACGCCGTGTTGTTCCTTGCCTCCCAGGAATCTAGATTTATCACTGGGGTTGATATGGCTATCGACGGCGGTTTTGATGTTTGATTCGCTTATGATGATGGAAACTTCTACGGATAAAATAAATGTTTGAAACTGCGTTTTTTAGTTAATTATCATGTGATCCGGATATATACATTAGAATTAGAATCATATAATCTTTTAACGAATATAGAATGGTAATAAAATAATGGATCCTGACATGTATTATCTTGACCTTTTTTTATTATATGAAATTATAATAATCGGTAAAAATGTCCGTTGCAAAACAACGGGACTAGTGTTTTTTTGTACATATTGTAGTAAACAACAATTGTGTTGTACTCCAATGGTTCTCAATTAGTAATAAATAACTTACTACTCATTATTTTTAGTGTATTATAGCCCTCTACTCACCTTTTTTCCATTATGTCATTCTACTTTTTAAAGTATAATGTTGCAAAAGGAAGAAATGGGTGTAGTGTACGATGCAATAATAAACAACTTAACGAAAATAGTTATTTCATGTATTTAAAAATGCAAGATCACTTTTTAGACAATGAGTACTCGCCGACACAGATACATACACATAAATCGACACACAAACAAATAGAAACAAATAGCGACGTGTATACACACATGATCCGTTGCAATTATCTATCTAATTTCAATTAATAATGAAAAAAAACATCAAGTTTTGAGTTATAAAAAAATTATACCATAGACTTCCGGTAATAAATTTCAAAAAGATTATTACCATTCATTGTGACACATCACGCATACTCCTATTGAGAATCAATCAATGGAACTTTAATATCAACCGAATCAACCATATTCAAAACGCTTTCCGTGCATCTCTATATGTTGGTGTACATCTTATAATTGCTCTTAATTTGTTTACATAAATAAAGTAAAAGACTCCTCTTGATTTGTTTACATGAATAAAGTAAAAGACTCGATTCCTTATTTAGCTTCAAAATAATTTAAATATTAATAAAGCAAACCCAAATGCATAACATGCAAGTGCAAGTAAAGAAACAAATAAATAGACTTACGCAAGAACAATAGGTATTTGGATGACACTTTTGGAATTGGGTAAATTTAAGTTGGTGTTCTTGTCGCAATCGCCAAAAATGCCCAAATTTGACTCATGTTGTGTTTGTGCAGAAAGGCCATAACTACCTTCACCACACCTTCAAATTCAATAAAAAAAATGCATAAAATTAGAAAAACAATATGGTAGATTATTTGTATCGGTATTTGTATATATTCTTCAACAAATAAAGTAATTAAAGTAATTGACCATTATTTTTTTTAAAAAGGATAGTAATCATTAGCAAATAATTAAATAAATTAAAAATAGCACAAAATTTTGGTAAATAATCAAACACCCTCTAAGGTGAGATCATAATTTATAATTTAAAGGTTGTAGGCAGAAAAACAAAAGGAAAAGATTTACTCTTGTCGGTGAACACCTAATTGATCTAAAGCTTGTACACTATTAATCTTGAATCATGTGACATATTCCGCTGTAAGAAGCTATATTGAATGAAAGTATTGAGCCAAACAGGATAACAATTTTTTTTAATAAAATCCAAGATCAGCTCATATTTGTACTGGAATATTAACCTGTGGTGTGGTGTATTCCCCATATATGGTCGGGACCTTTACATAATCAAGATCTTTGAAATTACTTGCAAAAAAAATCGGCATTTGCAGCCTCCTTTGTATAATCAATCTGCTAAAAAAATACAACTATAACTTATTGAAAAAAAATGTCACCTATGATTCATGCAAAACAAAACAACCAATCACTCCATGGATAGAAAGTAAAACCAAATTATCTGTAATTATACGTACGCATGTTAGAAACAAAGTCAGGTTGATCAAATAGCTTTACCAATGAGGCATGAGGTGCTATTGGATATGAAAGTTTGACACGTCCATCTTTGCAACAATGATTATACCTTGCGTGTTGTGTAGCGGAGGTTTTAATAAGCTCGTCAAACCAAAAGAAAGCCCCACAAGGCTTACATACTCCTTCATAATCACCAATGTCTGTATATATATACAACATCAAATGCACATCATACAAAATATAAAGGATACGTAATTTACAAATTAATTAATAGGACATGAAGATAGAATTGTATTCACTTGTGATTTCAGTTTGAGGTGATGAAATAACATCGATAGAAAACATGGTCATATGAGAAGTGACAAACAGGATTTAGCATACTGTTTAGATATCGTCATATGAGAAGGAAGAATGAATACCTTCGTTTAGGCTTCCGACCAAGAACATCTACTCAACTTGCTGGATGCATGAAGTCATGTCAATTATGAACCTGAAACAAATTGACTTTGCAAACTGACTTTACAGTTAGTCAGTTACTAATTGACAACGACAAAAGGCAATTTAAAAAAATTGTATTTCAATTTTTCACTGGTAAAGGATATTACAGCTAACAATTGCTAAATGGTAAAGAACATTACACCTAACCTTAGTGATATAAATCGATCATAAGTTGAAGATAAAAGGGAGCTATTATTAATAAAAAATCAGAAAAGTAATCGTGCAATGCTTATTGGTTTATTGAATTTTAGTTGATTCTTTGTCTTATATATATAAAAAACATAGACATATGATGTTTATTGACCTTATTGCTAATCTGACAACAAAAACATTATGTTGTTTGATATATTTTATGTTTTTGTTAAAATTTGATAAAATATCAAGTATGTACTTGAAGTTTAATTTCATCAGTGACCTTTATGCTGGAATGATTAAAGGAATTGTTAGTGATCTTTTTGAGGACAGTTCTTCTTACGGATTGGACAATAGGCACAATATCAATAGATGCAATTTTGAGTTTCAGGGACTGTTTATCTAACACAAAATTTCTTTTGATTGTGTTCCATTCAGCACAAATCTTCTCTATTTACCCTTATTCCAAAAACTCAACGTTCGACTTGTCTAAATCTCGCAAGAATACACCAAATCTTGCTTACATTGAAGTACCAAACTGCAACAATAATGAAATAAACTTATAGAATCAAAGAAAGATACAAAGTTCTAGATGTGGGATTTTCAAATTCTTCTTTGGATTACCATGTTGATAACAATCACGAATTTCTACCCTTACAAATAGAATCGCTAAAAGGAATGGCTGATTTGAAAGATGTTGTCCACTTAACCAACAAATATGAAGTTTAACAAGTTAGAACTAGAAGACTGTTTTCTATTTCAAAAGTAAAAGCAAACAATTGAAACAGTTAAGCACCTCCCAACCCCACCTAAAAAACACATCAACCAACAAACACAGAAAATCCCTAAATCAAAAATAATCTACAAAATAGCAAATTCAAAACGCCAAGAGCCCCATATCTTAACATAAACAACCAAGAAAGGAGAACTGAGCATAAATATAGAATAAATGGCCAACAAAGTTCAGAAAGCAGGGATACTTACAAAAAAACGTTTACAGGTTATTCTTACCTTCAATTAGATATTGGAGCTTGATTTTCTTGATTTGTTCACTGGAGAAAGAAAAAACCAATAGAAACCATAAAGAACCTTGTAGCTTTAAACACACACATACACACAAAGTTACTGAAGACGATTTAAAGATAGCGATATGTTCTCATAAAAAACAAACGGGATGGAGCGATTACTGTCTGATGCAACTTTGATAGGTGGTCGTGCGAAGCAGACGTGCCGGTGTTGGTGTTTTCAGGATAATGCCCGATGAAGGAGAAAAGTTTACGTCTCCAAACATTTGAGTGGCAGATTATTATTGAAGAATCCATCCATGTGAAGTTTGATGAAGACTCATACTCTAAAGATTATATACTGATCATTCAGGGTCAATTTTGGTTAAACAAGAGTATCGAGGAAGTCGGTTTGGAATTTACAGGACTGATTTTCCTTATAAATCTAAAATCGGTCATCACCAGAGTGTTTGATATTATTGTGGCTATGGATTGGTTATCTACAAATAATGCTCAAATGATGTGCAATAAGTAGATTGTGATTTTTGAAGTTTCTGATATGTGATTAATTATGATACGAGGTGAAAGGGGTAGCGAAGAAATTCCTATAATTCAATGGAAAATGCACAAAATGGTCTCAATAAAGGCGGTGTATTATATGTAGCACAAGTCACAAAAATTAATTTAGAAAGAATCATTGGTGATGTAGAATTAGTGAAAGATTTTCAGGATGTATTCCTGGATGAATTTGAATTCACTGTAAACTTGGTGCCTGGTGTTGAACCCATCGTTCGTATACTGTATCGGTTGGCACCTTCGAAAATCAAATAACTAATGGTACAATTGCAAGAATTATTAGACTGTGGTTTTATCCGAACTAGTACACCAACTTGGGCCGCTCCTATTCTCTTTGTCCGGAATAAAGATGGTACCATACGAATGTTTATAGATTGTAGAGAGTTGAATAAATTTACGATAAAAAAAGGATACCTGTTACCACGAATAGATTATCTCTTTAACTAATTGCAAGGAGCTTGGTATTTTTCAAATATAGACTTGAGTCACAATATCATCAATTGCAAGGATCTTCGTATTTTTCAAAGATAGACTTGAGATTGTAAGGTCGAACCTTATAAACCCGATTAGTCAAACCTATGTCACGTTGATTTATACAACATCGCTATCTACTATTGTCCAAGCTTCACTGCAGTGTAACATGTTACTTAGTAATAGGATCATCTTTTATATATATATATATATATATATATATATATATATATATATATATATATATATATATATATATATATATATATATATATATGGTAGATATCTTTGAATTTGAATCCCTGATATGTAGGAATTATGTAGGGATTCCTTTCGAGAATTCTCTTTAACGTAATATGTAAGTTACACTACATTTTGATGTAAACTTACCTCTTTGTGTGATCTCTCTTTGTGAGAGATTCTTAATCAAAATTAGTTATTGATTATTTATGCTCTTTGTTGTTATTGATTGATATTTTTTGTTCATTACGATCATTCAAAGAATATCATAACATGAAAACATATATAAT